TTTGCATGTAATTAACTTTCGCCGCAAAAGATGTTGAGAAGAGGACTTGAAAACATACGGTCACTGATACTGTTTGTCTCGTAAGTTGTCGTTTTAGGAGTATCAAATCATGAACTAGTTCGGTCTCTGAAAACTCCAGTTTGTTTGCAGTCTCCGTTTCTTCAGAAGTGCAGGACAACGCAGTGCCTGCCTGAAATTTCATACGTCAGATCGCTGAAGTGAACGCATATTCTTTGGCTTGAATGGTTTTGAACGCTTGAAGTCTTGGATCAAGAAATGGTCATTGAGATCTTAGCTGAGAATGATACATAGATTTGTCGGTGTGATTGTATAACGGATAAACAGCTTGGCGTCGACGTGGATCCAGCTTGTTAATAGTTCTAATGGAATTAGATTTATGGCTGCTTTTCCAGAGCAGTCAATCTCCAACATAGAAGAAGCTTAACAGAAAATACGCACAATTCCAAACAATACATAGCAGACGAGTCAAGCTTTTACCACCTGTGAGTTTCTTAACTTTCCTTTTTGCTTTATTTCGCTTTCACACAACCTGTTATTCAAATCTTCTTCTTCTGCACCTGAATCGTCTGCAGGAAACATTTGTTCAGTTATCCAAAATGGTAAAACCTGATTAAATATTTGACCTGACAGATCAATTTTTCACCTAAAAAAAATAAAAGCCTCTCTAGCCGGTCAATCAGTTTTGGAGATCATCACTCTCCTACGCTACCCATTTCAGTTCCCTTGTCACTGTCCAAGGCAAAAATCTACCACAATGTTCGTCTTAATTTATCTCTCAACATGGGCTATCTCTCATCGCAGTTTAATTCACAAGCCTATTGCCGCTCGATGACACATCTGGTGTACATAAACCCTGATTGATTTTATCGGTGATATGGGTCCGGGGGTATCATGTTTAGAGGCCCAGAGATTGGACGGAGGAGGCTGTCCCCCAATGCCACGTGGCCCTCCCCCGAGGGGAGTGAGGCCCGAGGTGGGGTGGCGGCCACTCCTTCCCAAAGACTAGTCGGAGGAGGCTGCCCCCCAATACCACGTGGCCCTCCCCCGAGGGGAGTGAGGCCCGAGGTGGGGTGGCGGCCACTCCTTCCCAAAGACTAGTCGGAGGAGGCTGCCCCCCAATGCCAAGTAGCCCTCCCCCGAGGGGAGTGAGGCCCGAGGTGGGGTGGCGGCCACTCCTTCCCAAAGACTAGTCGGAGGAGGCTGCCCCCCAATGTCACGTGCCCCCCCTCCCCCGAGGGGAGTGAGGCCCGAGATGGGGTGGCGGCCACTCCCTCCTAGAGATTGGACGGAGGAGGATGCCCCCCAATGCCACGTGGCCCTCCCCCGAGAGGGGTCGGGCCCAAGGTAGGGCGGCGGCCACTCCCTGGCCGAGACTAGAGGGGTAAGGCTGCCCCAGGCGCCACGTGGCCCTCCCCTGAGGGGGGATCGGGCCCGAGGTCGGGCGGCGACCGCCCCCTCCCGTGACTAGGGGTCGGGCTCCCCCGACCCCCTCTCTAGGTCATCACATACGGTGAGTTAGGTGTCCGCCTATAGGTGCCCACTTACCTGCAATTATGGCGACCCGAGCGGTCGCGCCACGCCGCATTTAATGTGGCATGCAGTGTACTCAACCAGTCTGTGACCGGTCGAATCACCGATGGGACTGGGTAGTGCACCTGTCCGCTGCTCGTGTATCAGGCGGCGTGCAACCTGACATGTCCCATCAAATAATGGTGGTGAGAGGTTCTCATCCTCTTATCCCAGCCGGAGTCGGTCCTCCCGCCCTGGTCAAAGCTAGGCTCCCGTTTCCCGGTGTAATAGGAGCCCAGAAGTCTTCACCCATTAAAAGCAACTGACATGGGCGCCCCTTGTGTCAGGCGGCAAGATTTAGCAGGCCCCATCATCAAGATGACGTGCGCTTGCTTCCTAAGTCAAGAGACAAGACAGGCATTTAATGCAAAACACTTCTCCACTGGAGCTAGGTTTTTGGGCCCATGTGGTAACCCCTTGAGGTATAAAAGGAGGTCCAAGCCTAGTAAAAAAGGGAGGGATCCAGGACGATCCATTTTGACGCTCTAGAGCAGTCTCTAGGCCCGGATGATCAACACCACATTTTACGTCAACAAGGGGATCTTGTAATCCTTGACTCAAGGAGCATAGCACAGGAGTAGGGTATTACGCTTCTTAGTGGCCCGAACCTATATAAATCCCTTGTGTCTCTTTTGCCTCGAAAACCTCGGATCTCACCCGCTGCCCCCGGCCGAACCAAAAAAAGGGATCTTACGATCTCCCGCTAGAGAGGATCACTCCTCGACAGATTTAATCCATCAGACGTCGTAGCGTCTGCAGAGCAAATTGTGAGCTTATCTCAGCTTCATCTTCAGTTTCAGTTTCAGTTTCAGTTCGCTGAGGGAGGGAGACAGAGCTGGCCACACGAGCGCGCCCTGCCCGGCGGTCGCGGGACACGACGCAATCACGTCGCTCTCTGCACGGATTAGCCCTAAACTAAACAAAAAAAATATATATTCCATCATCAAGAGAGAACTATAGCTATTAGCTAGCTAACAGTTGCATTTTCTGGTTCCCGTTTTGTTTTTCATGAAAGCTAGCTGAGTGATCAGATCAGTACTTGATTTGTACTATTATCTTATTGAGAGTGAGGGAGATGGTGTAGTTTGATGTGGAGGCAGATCTTCCAAACCCACCCTAAAACAATCTGAAACTAAAACGTAAGTAATAACTAATAAGACGATATAGCTAGTAATATATTTATACATGTGTAGTACTACTATTTTATGGTAGTTAATTGATTGATCAGTTTTATTAGTAGTAGGTGCAATGGAACAAGGCATGGAGTCACTTCATGCCGAGCAGCACGTCAAATGGAAGCAAGAGTTCGTGACAGAGACTCCACAGTTTGGTGCCATTAGGACGTGGCAAAAGAAAAAAAAAAGAAGGCTTTAAAAATACTTGAAGAAAGCTTGTGAGATAGCTAGATTAGCCACTGTGGAGATTGGATGTATTAGAGGACCAAAGACTTGACCGGGCCACTTTTGGGTTGCATGTGTGCATCTTATAACTACTTTGGTGATGCATGAAATATATGAGAGCCCGTTTGGTTTGAAATTAAGTTGCTGTTTGCCGTGAAATACTGGCGTTGTAGTTGTTGTGGCAAATGAGATTCTCATCCCCATTGTCCACCCAAAATTAAGTGTATAAGCTGATATATGTCATGCTTCAACTCCGATTTTATATAAAACGGTAAAACCTATTCTTTTTTCTCGGCCATGGAGTAACTATTTAAGAGTACAAACGAACAATATAAGAAATTCATATATAGAATTTTTTATAGATATGTAGAAGTACAGGAAGTGTGTGTTCATCGTTTCATTACTTGATGTATTCATTAATCATTATCTCGAAGAAACTCTTGTCCGTTACCCCGTGGACTGTGGTTGGGAACAAATCTCTCACACACGAAAAAAGAAAGATCCATTAGCACGTGGTTAATTAAATATTAGCTAAAAAACTTAAAGTAATTAATATGATTTTTTAAAAACATTTTTCTATAGAAACTTTTATTAAAAAAAATACCGTTTAACATTTTGGAAAGCTTATGCACGAAAAACGAGAAAATAAAGTTGGGAAAGTGACTAAAAAAACACACATCATGAGACACATAAGCTTAATAAGTTGTGTGGTGAAGAGCAGGGTTCGACATTTCATACCGAAATTTATGAAATTTTAGGAATCCCACAACGATATTATTTCAGCCGATTTTTTTATTTTTTTATGAATTTTGGTAATATTTGTTCAAAATTGACTAAATTTTGTTCCAAATTCGGATATTTCGGACCGAAATTTTAGAAATTTCGCCATATCGACGCTGCCCGATACAAACATCTGCCCGATACAAACACCGTAAACGAAAAGTTGAACCCTGCACTGAAGAGACAGTCAAGAACGTTAGAGTACGTGGCCGGTTGCTGAAGTGTGGAGGAAGAAAACTCGCCTAACTAACAACAGCCGGAACACTACTCACATAGGGTTTGACACATTTACGTGTGTTCACTTTCAGTTAAGGAAGCGTTGCCGGCCTGCTGTCTGAACCTGAACTTGACTCTCCCTCGGCTTGTCAGTTAGTGTGAAGACGCAGCTAGCAGCAGCTTGTGTGGACTTCAGGCGCAATGGTACTGTAGCACAAGAGAGCATCACAGCCGACTGGCACCGTGGAAATTCAAGTTTTCCTTGTATTAGGGCATCAGCAATGTATCCTTCCCAAGTAGTAAATAAGGTGGGACCAACCAAAAGCAGGTAATTGTTATTCAAGATCTCACAATGTATAGGAGGTAATAAGATAGGTCCCACATGTATATAAAAATCTAAAAGTATACGGTAGTATGGATAGAGAAGAAAGATTCAATACATAGCTGAGAGAATCAATGATTTTTTATTCCTTACTAGCAGGTCATAGCGCTATTGCTTGGTATTTGTTGCTTACTACCTCCACAATGTTTACTACCTGGTATTAAGGCTGTATTTATTGCTTACTACCTAGTTTTTGAGCACATTATGGATGCCCTTAGTTGGTACATTCTGCTGCTGATTAGGGGCACCCAATGGGTCTCAGAATGCGCTGCTAGGAACAGTTCCTTGGCGAGTCAAGAGTTTGACCAATATTAGGTCCCTTAGATTCTGCAACATTGTCGTAGGATAGGATCCAGATTCCAGCCATATGCTTTTCAGAGTTTAGGCTAACAATCTACACCAAACCTGCAAATCACCCAAAAACCAGCTTCCAGCTTCGATCACCCAAATCGTGGCCTTGACAACAGAGGCCCAAAGCATTGTTTCGCCGCCAAAATAAGAGCCCAAGCATTGTTCATGTCTGAAGATTACATCACGTCATAAGCCTTGGACCGTCAAGAAGTCAAGATGTTTGCGTTCTCAAACATAGAGATCACAAAAGGCTAAAAGGACACCGCAAAAGCCCAAGCAGAGAAACACCAAGTCACTAACCCTTCGCATCAGTAATGACATTGAGTGCAAAATAATCAAATGGGTAATTTAATCCTTGGAAGCCTAGTTCAACAAACAAATCGCGAGTACATATACTGATACAATCTAGTCCCCTAACCCTCCACTCACACCTCATTAGGGTCGTGCCCTTCAAAAATGAATCCGATACATCTAAGGGCAGCACAACTGGTACTGTAAGCTTGTACTCCAAAATAAACTGTCCCCCATCACCGCCGGAGGCCATGGCTATCTAAAACGCCCTAGTTCGTCTTCGACTTGGGAGCCTTCTTCTTGGCCTGCCTCTTGGGAATGGAGTTCTTCATGCCCAGGAAGAAAAGAAGCGCCCCAAAGAGAGCCAAATTCTACAACGAGTCATATTATTTCATCACATTGGCAGGGTAAGGTAAATTTGGCAGATCTCCGAACAGAGAAAATTGTGTATATACCTGTGTGAACTTCATGAAGAGCTGCACAAATTCGGACTTCTCCATGTCGTAGTTGTAGAAGTCGTAGACAACAGGTGTGATAAAAGCGAGGTAAATCAGCTGCAGAGGGGAAAAAAAAGTAGTCCATTAGACCATGCCCAAACGAAGTTGCAGAGGAAAAAACAATTCAAGCTGGTCCAAATTCACAATGAACAGAATTGGAGTAGAGCACAAATCACCATAGCCCTGTGGTTGGCTGGAAATGGTGGTTAGTTAGATAAGCAGGGTAAAAAGATAAACCAACTTCTACTGATCTATAGGATCCATAGGAGTGAAAGCAGAAAATTAAGAAGTAACTATCTTCTAGCTTTGACAATATGCACCTAGCACAAACAGATTTGTGGAAAAAAACAAGGAACCACAGAAAGAGCTCCATCAATCCATCATTCAGACTGATGAAACAAGGAAATGGGCACATCTATGGAAGGTGAGTATATAAATACAGTAGCGCACATTCTGTAAATGAATTCTAGACTTTATTGGTCAATTATGTGGAGTTTACGCCTTTACGATGAACACCATAGTTACAGGGTTTAGGAACTACGAACAAGAGCATCAGCAGATTACAGAGGCAAACACTATGCACTAAAAATTTTTATCAGGCTTGAAGTTGGGAGGAAACAACATGCAAGCCCCAAATGTTCACTTGCACAGAGCTTACATCAGATAAGTGAGCAAAAAAAAAATGATGACCCTGAAGTGAAAATTCCAGTCCCAAATAAATTGCTCACATTTAAATGACTGATAATCAAACAATCCAGCATGCGGATTGTGGAACAGCTAAGTTTTCAGCCAAAGCACTAAAAGTTTCAAATCACATATTCATCAGATAATTGTCAAGATTCCCATCAAGAATACTTTCAAGTAAAGCCCCTAATCTTCTGTGAAGTGTTAAAAGAACATTGGCACCGAGGAGAATGTGAAGATTAAATATAAAGAAAAATGTAATATAGCATAACAAGTACTGAGTACATACCAGGAGATAAGCACCAAACGAACTGCTCAGGATAAAAAGGAGACCTCCCAGACCCTTCAGACCAATGGTAGCAGCAACAATGTGCTTCAACTGGATAAACAGAACAAGTTAGTGATTAGAGCATCACAGCTACATAAAGTATATAATGGCTAAAGCAGCAAATCTTCACCTCAACATGAGGCACTGCTACTCCCAAATGTGCAGAAATATTTTTGGTGAAGACGTTATACTTAGGCCGAAGGGCCTTTGCAGCCGGTCCACCATCAGCTCCAAATTCACTAAACCTGCATCCAGAACCAATTATAACTTAACAAATGAACGCACGTTCAGAACGATCAGATGTTTAGTACTTAGTACCGCACAATCAAAAGGATGGAATATTATCAAGTACTTACCATCCATCTAGTCAGGTAAATTATGAACATTTGATGAGAAATTGAAACATTAACATTAACAGATTTGCTGTTAAAATGTATATTGGACTGCCAAACTCATCACTACCGTTTCAGTCATTTGTCCCTTTCATCCCAAGATCAAAGAACCAAGTCAATCAAGAGATGCATGCACACTTATTAAACCACATCACGCGTCATTGTGTGAAACGGCAAAAAATTGTGGAACCACACTAATTGCCAATTCAGGATAAATATTACAAATAAGCTTTAATTTACTGTATGGTTTGATAGATTATTTCACACTGTTTTGGTGGGAGCATCTTAATGGGACTGAAGCTTCGGGTACGTTACGAGTTAAAACAGTGGTTTCCCGTTATTCATTAAAAAAAAAGGATATTGTTGTTACATAAGACGAGATATCAGTGTCACATCCGAAGATTCCATGTACATACGGATGTCCATGTACTGTTATATCCGTTGAGTGCGCCACAAGATTGGAGGAAAGCTATAAAATTCCAAAACCAACACCTCATCTTTCCACAACTCTGGGAGCAAATTTGATAGGTACGGAAGAGCAGGTACATCTGGAGTATTTTTTTCCCCAGGATTTCCCTGAACTAACTACGCAATATATATATATATATATATATATATATATATATATATATATATATATATATATATATATATATATATATATATATATATATATATATATAACTGGCTGATTTTTTTTAAAAAAAAAGGTATTCCAGATTTCGTGTCTTAGATCTTAGTAGCAGAGTAAATTAGGTGCAAAAATTAAGTGATTATCAACGCTAATTCCAGCAGCAGTCACATCATTTCGTATCAAAGTGGAACTGCATTTCACTGTATAATATAACTCACTCAATGGGGCGCCATTTCATTTCAAACCGAAAGCTTCCAGAAAATCCAGTGGAGTGGCACAAATCAAGGAGGCATCAAAACATGCTCAAGCCCAGCAGCAAATATGTAAAACTCAAACCTAATGCTCACCAGATCAAACAAAATGAGACGAAACAGCGGTCACTCCAGGAATCTCTAGCTTATTTCTCTGCAAATCGCCATCCCAATGCCACAATTCAGCAGCCCAAAGTTGGATCAAAACATGCAGAAACCAAAACTGGCCCCGTTTCCATTATAGAAACCGAATCGGCCCCCACCAGATCCAGGCATCAGTGCATCACACAAACCAACCAGCCACTAAGCCCACCGCGAGATCTAAGCACCTGAGAGAGAGAGAGAGTTCGACGTTCCAAACCCCCACAAGTCCCCTCAGATTCCGCGGCCACCACACCAGATCTACCGAAACCGACCCCAAACCGAACCCAGCGATCCACACACGACGACAATGAGAGCCATAACCGCAGGGGAGAGTGGAGCTGAGAAGAGAGAGAGAGATGGAAGGCGACGCAATAACAAGTAAACAAACGTACTCCTGGTAGGCGGAGAGGAGGAAGACGGAGGCGAAGAGGACCCTCCCGGCGAAGGAGACGAACCCCATCTCGCGCTGCGGCGACGGCGACGGCGACGGCGAGGGGAGAGAGATGCGGTGGTGGTGGTGGTGGCGATGGGGTAGCCGCGGCGACCTCCGTGCAGTGCAGCTATGGGGATGGAGACGGGGAGAGGCCCGTGTCCGAGCCCCACACTGTACTTATAATAAGGAGTAAATTTCACAAAACTACATATTTTATAGTTCACTTAGCACTTAAATACATATATTTTGATAGTTTAGTTTTACAAAACCACACTATCGATGAATGGATTCACTTGTGATATGACGACATGGTTATTTCATCTAGTATGAGGACGTAGCATCATATTAATTTCGTGCGATGGCTGTTAATAGGATGTCATGTCCTCGTCCTACGTGAAAGAGCCACAACTACACGACCAAAATATATGTAATCAAGTGCTAAGTGTCAAAATGCGTGTGGTTTTCTACAACTTGGACCACAAAATAAATATATAGTTTCGTGAAATTTACTCTACAATAAACGCGGGGTTCTGAGCATTGTGGCCGAGCTTTTCGGGAATTAACCCTCCAGTTCTTCAATATTTACATTACACGGCTCCGTGGGTGAAGCTTCTTCGGACCTTCGTGTGATCATGTCTGAATTTCAGACTCCGTGCGCTACATCGATTTTTCAGGATGCCTGAAATTTAGGGTGTGTTTAATTCCTGAAAAAAGTTATAAGTTTGAAAAAAGTTAGGAGTTTAAAAAAAGTTGAAAGTTTATGCGTGTAGGAAAGTTTTTGACGTGATATGATGTGATGGAAAGTTGAGAATATGGGACAAACTAAACACGGCCTTAGTTTTCGTGTAATTATATGTTTGTGTAACTTTAACTTTTGATCACCAATAAATTTTAAATGGTTAGATCATGATGTAAGAAAAAAATTATATCTATATATGGAATACAACATACTTCGTTAATACTCCCTCATTCCCAAATTAATCATTATATAATGAAATTTAAAAATTCTTAAATTGATCATCATATAACCGCTTGTGCACGGATTTTATTAGAATACAATTAATGCGGCATGGGAGAATGAGTACATGCTAAAGTGTAATTGGTTTTGTTAGAACATAATTAATGCAGCATGAGAGAATGAGTGCATGCTAAGGTATAATTGGTATAGTGTTTTAATCGATGTATGCTATTGTAGGAAAATGTGTGTATGGTGTCTTGATTTATGCGATTTAAATTATATTTGTTCTTGGTGTATAAATATATATGATGATTAATTTGGGAATGAAGAAGTATGAAATTATTTGGAGTGTGTATACATTTTTTAAAAGAAATACAAGTAGTTATAGATTAAAGATGAATATAGTAGCTAATGACAAGCATTAGAAGTTAGAGGGAGTATCAAGTATGTAAGATTTGACAACCATATTAAAAATATTGATTTAATGTTGTTTGTGTAGGGAAGCAAAGCACCAGTAATGTCGTGACAAAATCATAACATTATGGGTGCATAACTTCTCTAGTATTCCAAGTTTCCAACAATTTGTAAGCCTGTGCATGCATGTGCACTTTTCGTGTAATAAAGAAAACAATATTTGTGTGTTTAAATCAAGAATAGGATTATTGGGTCTTTTTAGTGGAAGGAATTACATATTTGTGCATCGCAATGGGACTTAAAATTTACTTTGTGCATGGAACTTAATTTAGTTTGTTTAATTTCGAAATTTGCATGCCAAGGTTTGCTTTTCAAATTTTTATTGTTGTGCATTATATTAGTATTTCTTTCATGCTTGTAAAATATATCTTCTCGAGAGACAAACTTGTGCTGCATTACTCAAATAATTTGTCTAAGTTTATTTCTAAAAACAATTAATTTGACCATAAATAAGTATATTATACGTTTCAGTTTATCCACATTCACCACTTTAGAGCGGGGGACTAAATTTCTCAAGGTGGAGCCGCTATCTCCCAAACACTTCCTTGCAAGAAGGGATAGAGACACAATACTCTTGCAACCTTTTTACTTCTGTTTATTTCTTCGTTGCCACACATGTAAAGAATCTCAACAAAAAAAATTGACAGATAATCTTCAGGCAAAACTCATTCAGGGCTTTGCTAATGAGTCAAAATGATTGTACGGATCTACTAGGAAGAAACGTGGTTTTAACGAACTTGTCGCAACAAATGGAATTCATCATGTACTAGGGGGTGTTTAAATCCAGGGGTAAAGTTTTAGTGTGTCACATCGAATATAGAGACACACATTTAAAGTATTAAACGTAGTCTAATAATAAAACAAATTACAAAATCCATCTGTAAACCGTGAGACAAATTTATTAAACCTAATTAATCCGTTTGCAAATATTTACTGAGCGGGGGACTAAAGACTAAATTTCTCAAGGTGGAGCCGCTATCCCTAAACACTTCCTTGCAAGAAGGGATACAGACACAATACTCTTGCAACCTTTTTACTACTGTTTATTTTCTTCGTTGCCCATGTAAAGAATCTCAACTAAAGAATTGAGAGATAATCTTCAGGCAAAACTCATTCAGGGCTTGCTAATAAGTCAAAATGATTGTATCGATCTACTAGGGAGAAACGTGGTTTTAACGAACTTGTGACAACAAATGGAATTCATCATATACTACTGAGGAGGGGTGTTTAGATATAGGGGTGTAAAGTTTTGGTGTGTCACATTGGATATATGGACACACATTTAAAGAGTCTAATAATAAAACAAATTACAGAATCCGCCTGTAAATTATGAGACGAATTTATTAAGCCTAATTAATCTGTCATTAACAAATGTTTACTGTAGCACCACATTGTCAAATCATGGAGCAATTAGGCTTAGAAGATTCGTCTCGCAAATTAGTCGCAATCTGTCCAATTAGTTTTGTTTTTAGCTTATATTTAATACTTCATATATTTTTTCAAACGTTCGATATGACAGGATGAAAAATTTTGGGTGGGATTTAATAGGCCTAGACCATCTTTCTCTCAAAAAAGCTCACAAGTTTCAGCCGTGCAGATCATATACCATCCCTGCAATTTCGGGAAACGCAAGGGGGCCATCTGTCAAAATCCCCGGATAAAATCCCAAACCGCGGGCCGGGGCAAAAGCCGTATCGCCGTATTGCGCCGACCACCGAGTCACCCTCACCCCGGATCTCAGACAAACTTCGCCCGGATGCCCATGTCGAAGCGGTTCGAGAGAGAGGGCGCGCGGTGAGGTGGGTGGGCCGTTGCGAAGCGAGAGGCCGACGAAATTTGAATCGGGAAGCGCGTGGAGGGGAGGTGGGGAGCGGAGTTGGGGGAGGAGGAATGGCGTGCAGGTGCGCGCGGGGTGGTGGTGGGTGGCCCCGTCGTGGGGGAGACAGATGGATGGACCACCATAAGCTTGCGCAGGAGGGTAGGGGGGGACCTAGGGTGGGGATGGATGGCAGGAATCAGGATGGCGTAAATTGCTTTGCCCTTCGCTTTCCGTCGCCCTTCACTTTTCGTGTCCAGCTGGCAGGACCGACACAGGCACGAGCAGTAATTTCTGCACATTCAACCATTTATTGTTGTACATTACAGTATCACCGTTTATTTAATACAGCTGGCAATGCGAGCTTCTTTTTAAATTCGTGCTTTGCTGTTTTAAATTTTTACGACTAGTACTAAATTCTTATATTCAAAAATAAATAAAATAAGAGCATCTCCAACAACCAACAGCATTTGTAACCTATCACAGCATTTCTTAACCCGTGTGAGGGCAGGAGCAATGCGCCGTGTCTCTAGCCCCTCCTGAAGATGCGAAATCAGCGCGAGGCAATCATCCCCTCAGTGCATGTTATCACGAGGAGACGGAGGCACGGAATTCGCAGCGCACGCACGTTGGGTTTTCTGGTTCACGTGTGGACTAGCAACAGGTGGAGAACTTATCTCCTTGTATGGGAGCGAGGCGCTATGCAAAGGCACGGATTTAATCCCCACGTACGCAAAAGTCCGAGCTGGAGTTTCAAGACAACTCGATAAGTAACTGCATTGTAAAGGCCCTGATGCCTCCTCTGTCTCGTTGCCTCGGTTACAATATAGACATGCTACTCTAGAGTTTTTAGGATGTCGATAACATGAAACTGTTTGGCCGCTGAGCAGCGGAGCAATGTGGCTTAGACAAGCAAAAACAGCACATAGGAGACAGCTACCTTGGCGAGCCTCATCATCCACAAACTACCGTGATGAGCACTATTGCGGCATCTATGTACGCGGTTGAAGGAAAAAAAGAGGAGAGGTTTGAGTGGGGTTTCATTAATATGAAAATTCTGTTGGAGTTAGATACTAATTCCTCCATTTTATATTATTTTTTAAGTTAGACATATATGTGTATAGATTCATTAATATCTATATGAATATGGATAATATTATAAAGTCTTATAGTATGAAACGGAGGGAGTAGAATATAAGGATGAAACTTACGTAGAGAGTCAAATGAAGATATTGATAAGTTAAATTTGGCACCTCTCTCTATGGTAGGAATACAATATGATGTTTTCATCTCTTGGATGAGAGAATGTCTGTGCTAATGAGTACTAGTAGGAGTAGAATGAGTGTGGACACTTGTAATCAATGAACTTGTCGGTAAAATAGCCGTGCACTGTCAAACTCATGCTAATTAATCAACGTCCAACTAACATAAGCTTACTTAATCAATGATAGAGACGTGAATACTTCCACAGAACACTCCTACAATCCCTTGGAAATTACAGCCATTGACTTTGACCAGACAACACTCCAAACAGTATACATTCACGAGAGTCATGACGAAGTTCGGCGGAACTTACAAGGGAGCTCAGAAAATTTGAGTGAAGCATTCCAAATCTCCAGCATTTTGATGCGTCCAAGAAGTTCAGCAAAATGCTGACGTCCCAGAAAGAAAAATGTTGTGTAGCCATCGAGCCTTCAGAAAGCTTCAAAGTTACTTGCAGACTTCCAAGGCATTCCAGCAAAGTTTGATGAACTTTCCACTGCCCATTCCGTGACAGCAATTCGCAAGGAAACAAAAGATAAAGTCTAATATATTCAGTACTATACTAGCTAGCACTGCTGATAAATTGGCCCATTTTACAAGTAGCTCAGGTATATGATCTGAAGTTGGAATGTTGCTGGCCCAACCCACACTGCTAAGTGCTACTGCTACACCAGTTAGTAGAATTGGCCCGTCATAATTCATAAGACAAATCAACCAAACTGGCTGATTACAACAGAAGGGACCAATCAGAATTCAGAAGAACAAGAAACACATTGCAAGTTTGCAACACAGCTCTGAACTTTGTGACAGACGTTTGTCACAAGTCACACGACCCGTTGAAGAGTCGTGGACTTGTGGTAAGAGGCAGTGGAAAATCTGTGTTCACCAGAGGCCAAATCAGAAAACCATAATGTACAGAATTTTAACGGCGTTGCTTCTTCCTGAGCACCAACTGAATCTGATCCCTTTTTTACTTCTTCGTCCTCCTCGGCTCCTCCTGGTCATTCTGCGCCGCAGAAAATTCGGTGATCCTCGCCTGCTTCTCGCAGTCCAGATCGGATTCCTGCTGTTTGTTCGCGTTGTATTCCTGATCCTTGTCTTTCCCCCACAGCAACATGTAAAGGCCGAGTATGACAACCACTCCTCCGATTATGCTGTAGATTGTAGAGCAACAACAGTGGAGCAGAATTCATTTTTCTGAACATTTTCAGTTCGGTTTGTTGATGACCGAGACATTTGCTTCAAATTATGAGCAGCTTTAATTCTTACCTTCCAACGTATAGATTTTCACCAAACATGAAGTAGGCCAGGATGGCCACCATGATCGTGGAGAGAGGGTTGAACATGGTGACGAAGACGGGGCCCTTCTTCTCGGTGCACCATAGCTGAGCGAAGACCGTGAAGCCATTGCAGGCGAATCCCTGAAGAACAACCAAATGTACAGTTCACGAGCAAATTGAATTTGATTGTTTTTTTTTTCTTGCAGGTGATAATTGGTGGTCTCGCTTACAGAGTAGACGATGCACCAGAACTTGAGGCCGAAGCCTATGCGCCAATCTTCCGGCTTGTGCTGCATGAACGCTGTGAAGACAGCAGACTGTATTCCTCCCACAGTGCACATCCATGCTGTCAGTGACAGCTGGGCTGGGTACCTCTTCAACGACGAAGCCTACAATTTCGACCAAAATCAAATTGGCATTAATTACACTAACAGAAGTACTAATAATTTACAACCAAATTAAATTATCTCCTAATCACGTCTACTCCCTCCGTTTCAGAACCTATGTGTTTTAGTTTTATGCTAAGGGGGTGTTTATACCCAGAGATGTAAAGTTTTGGCGTATCACATCGGATATTAAATAGGGTATCGCATAGAGTGTTCAGACACTAATAAAAAAAACTAATTACAGAATTAGTCAGTAAACCGCGAGATGAATTTATTATGCCAATTTAATCTGTCATTAGCAAATGTTTACTGTAGCACCACATTGTCTAATCATGGAGCAATTAGATTTAAAAGATTTGTCTCGTAAATTAGTCGCAATCTGTGCAATTAGTTATTTTTTTAGCCTATATTTAATACTTTATATAGGTGTTCAAACGTTCGATGTGACATGGTGTAAAATTTTAGAAATAGATCTAAACAAGGCCTAAGTCAAACTACACTTGTTTCATCAAATTTACATGAAAACGCACCATCTATAACTCCACATCTATATCTATATCTATACCTAATAAAAAAATGAGTAAATTGCACCTATGGTGTATCAACTTGGCAGGTGGGTGCAATTTGGTGTAATAACTTGAGAAATGAGCGTTCTAGTATAACAACTTGGCATGTACGTACAATTTAGTACAAGAATTTTATAAGTGATCGCATAAATGTAACAACTTGTAAGATACGATTTTGATACAATAAGTTAAGAAGTCTTAATTATTTGGAGTACTTTTTTATACGTATTTAATTTTGAAGTACTTATTTTGAAAATATACTAGCGTGGATTTGTATATAAAGAAAACAAAAATTCTTGAAGGAAATTGGATGTGCAGTATAATTTTTAAAGATTAAATTAAATATTATAAGATAATATCCATAGGATTGCTATGTAATGGCATATTGACATCATGAGAAAAACTCACCTAGCATATGCTTAGCTATTCTTATACTAAAACGCACTCACTTGTCAAGTTGTTGTACTCGAACGTTTAATTCTCGAGTTCTTGCACTATATCGCACCCACCCGCCAAGTTGTTGTACTGTGGGTGTAATTTACTCTAAAAAAATACGTAAGGTTTCCGGATTTTTTTGGTCCGTCATCTCATTTTCACGTTGCTAAAATCGGTTTTAATCGGCTCAATAGTCGAGTCGGATCCTTTTCAATCTACTTCAAAACTATGATTAATATAGAATATGTATTAATTGATGTACCCGTTGAACACAACTAGGAGCTTGCCAACTTGGTTAGTGGGGAAAAATTTAGCTGTGGCCACCTGGGTTTGATTCCCACCACCCTCACCTTTATACACCTGTATTTATTTGCACTGTGTATGGGCCGGCCTCTCATATGCTAGATTGTACTATCGTATAGAAAAATTGAACACTAATTATTACTCAGAATAAGTCTACTTTGCCTCCCACATCTCACATTCTTTCTTCAATAGATATTTTGTGATTCAGAAATCTTATAATAAACCAATTTTAATTTGAAAAATCTTATAATAAACCAATTTTAATTTGAAAATTAAACATATTTTTTACGTTATCTGCAAAACACGACATATTAGAGTTTGCACCATCTATCATCCACGCATGAGCCGTTAAACGATCCGTTTATTTGCACTGTGTATGGGCCGGCCTCTCATATGCTAGATTGCACTACCGTATAAAAAAATTGAACACTAATTATTACTTAGAATAAGTCTACTTTGCCTCCCACATCTCAAATTCTTTCTTCAATAGATATTTTGTGATTCAGAAATCTTATAATAAACCAATTTTAATTTGAAAATTAAACATTTTTTTACGTCATCTGCAAAACACGACATATTAGAGTCCGCACCATCTATCATCCACGCATGAGCCGTTAAACGATCCGTTTATTTGCACTGTGTATGGGCCGGCCTCTCATATGCTAGATTGCACTACCGTATAAAAAAATTGAACACTAATTATTACTTAGAATAAGTCTACTTTGCCTCCCACATCTCAAATTCTTTCTTCAATAGATATTTTGTGATTCAGAAATCTTATAATAAACCAATTTTAATTTGAAAATTAAACATATTTTTTACGTCATCTGCAAAACACGACATATTAGAGTCCGCACCATCTATCATCCACGCATGAGCCGTTAAACGATCAGTTTATTTGCACTGTGTATGGGCCGGCCTCTCATATGCTAGATTGCACTACCGTATAAAAAAATTGAACACTAATTATTACTTAGAATAAGTCTACTTTGCCTCCCACATCTCAAATTCTTTCTTCAATAGATATTTTGTGATTCAGAAATCTTATAATAAACCAATTTTAATTTGAAAATTAAACATTTTTTTACGTCATCTGCAAAACACGACATATTAGAGTCCGCACCATCTATCATCCACGCATGAGCCGTTAAACGATCCGTTTATTTGCACTGTGTATGGGCCGGCCTCTCATATGCTAGATTGCACTACCGTATAAAAAAATTGAACACTAATTATTACTTAGAATAAGTCTACTTTGCCTCCCACATCTCAAATTCTTTCTTCAATAGATATTTTGTGATTCAGAAATCTTATAATAAACCAATTTTAATTTGAAAATTAAACATATTTTTTACGTCATCTGCAAAACACGACATATTAGAGTCCGCACCATCTATCATCCACGCATGAGCCGTTAAACGATCCGTCTCCACGCGACTCGGTGTTCGATTTTAGAAATTAATATATCAGGCGCTTGCCATGCAAGAGTTGAAAGAGCATGTGTTATGACAATATGAGTATATCAATATGCAATGGTGTTTCTTATCAGTCCTGATTATCATTAACCGAACAAACAATTTATCTATCTTGGAACATCGTTACATATTAACTGTGTATTTATAGCATTTAACCTTTTATTATACCCGTAGCGGAGCACGGGCATTTTGCTAGCTAATTTCATATACTCAATATGATATAATGTATTTTTTTGTTGTTAAAAAATTATGTTGCTACATTTTTTTATAAACTTGCTTAAATTTAGTCGGGTTTGATTTAAAAAATAAAATAAAAATTATATTATGAAATGGATAGAGTAGTAATTTACCTACGCTTTTATGTACTCCAAGAATTTGCAACAAAAAAAACAGAGAGATTTGGAGGAGGATTATGCATGATCTGCACCTGCAGGATGTACCAGATGGACCAGCAGATGCAGCTGGCGACGGCGAGGAACGATCCCTTGAGCCAGCTCTCATGCACGCCGCCGCCGCCGCCGCCGCCGTGTATGCTGATCGGCGCCTTCCAGGGGCTCGATATCGCGGTGCCTTTGTACAGGGTCATGGTGGTCACCCCGGCGAACGACACCACCGTCCCGGCGACCTTCGCGAGCCCTCGTATGCTCCTCACGTCGACGATCTCCATCCTGACAGCATCAAGATTAATTTGATCGCGAGCTAATGTCAACCAGGCACTCAAACTGCAGTAAAGACGATCAGACTCTGCGTGCGTTCGTCGTGAAATGCGTGAAAATGTTGGGCACCTGACGACGATGGCGATGACGAACGTGATCGAGGCGACGGTGTTCACCACGGACGTGACAAAGGTTGGGGATGTGTACATTAAGCTCGCGAAGTACATGTTCAGAGTTAGGCTCACCCTGCAAGCCGACCAAGATGATGTGTAAATTTGTTCTGACGAACTTTGAATATGTTTTTTTTATGAGCTATCATCGACGTTCTTTCTGATCTTACCCTAGAAGTGAGAGCACGAAGATCTCCAGAAACAGCATCAACGTCATTCTCGGCCTCAGTTTCCTGCAAAAACACAACAATTAATCAAACACGTGAGCAAGGTTCAGAGTACATTTCAGTTCAGCCTTCATCATCCTAACTGAAGAACTGTGCTTACTTCTCTTGGTAGTAGGCGAAAGGCGCGAGGAAGACGGCGACAACGAGATGCCGGTAGGTGACGTAGATGAAAGGGTTGAGCCCCTTGTTGAACGCGGCCTCGGTGATGAAGTACATGAGCGTGTAGCACAGCTGCGACAGTATCATCAGATTGTGCGGCGCGTACCTTCTCCATAGATCTCCCATCGATGCTAGTACATGAAGAGCCATCACTACAATACTGTACTGTCCACCTGAAGAACAAACTGAATCAAGAACGGAAACAGCAGCTAGTCCTTTTTATAGCCTTAGTGCCGTGAACTGGACAAGTACTATCACCACTACTACGAGCTGTGTTCACTGAAATACTAGGTGGAAATGATAGCTACCTGAAAAAAACAATAGCACATGGAATTGGCACACTCATCTTTTCTGCTTTTTGAGAAAAGGGGGGGGGGGGGGGGGGAGGGGGAGGATATTCTATGCTCAAATGAGAAAAATGTAAAAATGCAGCTAGGAGGGGAAGATGGTAGAGTGAACAAGAGAATTTGGCTTGTCAGTGTCCTTATGGAAGTTGATCCCTGATAGATTTGCACTAGTAGCAGTGCTGGTGCTTTTGGTTTTGGCCAGTGCATATGGTGCGAGCTGAAAAAGCATATATTGGTGGCCTCAAGAATATTAGATGGAAGGAAACCTAGCTGGTGGTGAGATCAGTCAGGAAAAATTTGCTAGTTTTGTTAACTGCGTAACAGTGTAAGCAATCTCCATTTCTGGACTTCGAAGACATAAGCGCCAGTTAGTTGAGCACAAAATTAAGATGCACTTGATATTGCAGTGACAATAGGTGTATGATTTTAACCCTGAGACCCAATGTACAACCACCAACACGCTCATAATTTCTTTTTAAAAAATGTTTGGAGAGACGTCTCTCCCTCCAAATCTTCTTACTCCTACATTTTTAAATATATGATGTCGTTAACTTTTAGATAATCGGTTGACCGTCTGTCTTATTAAAAAGATATGCACAGATGAAAATATAAGTCAGTTTTATAGTATCTTTAATGATAAAATAAGTCAAAAATATCTATATATTTTTAATAGAACGAATAATCAAATGTATGTCCAAAAGCTAAAAACGTCGTACACTTAAAAATGAAGGGTAGTGTTCGGTTTACCTTTTATCATCAATTAGTTCATTTTTTCTTCTTATCGACTTCAAAACATATACACATGCACACATACACCACTGCACACCTACAAATATAGCACTAACACACACTCGGAGATGAGAAAACGTGACATATTTGATCTCATTAAATTTCTATTGAAAGCTCATTTTCGTATGTAGGCATCATAATTTGAATCTTAGTGGATGAAATCAGGCACCCATTGCTCCACCACCAATGCTTCCACAATTAGTTGCTTTTTCTGAACACATTCTGCACGTTGAGTTGAAATCTAGCAGTTGTGTGATTCTATTTGTGGCACATTGCTTAAGAGAACATGGAGCTAACCTGAAATATTAGTATTACCTTGGCTGTTCAATGGTGTCAACTGTCAACAATTGGACCACTCGTGAGAATTACATTCTCCTCAGTGATGCTCTGGCTACCTGATGCTCCTTTTGTCTCTATGTAAGACTATTCTACTTGCTGTCTGAAGCTGCACTGGCCGAGAGCATAATGTAAGTGGATTTGAGAATCCCGGACGGGAGTGTCTAATGATCTTAGAGTTATCATTAAATAAACAATGATTTTGGTAAAGCTAACACGGCCAAAAGCAAATGATTAGTTGCTAATTGATTGTCAGTGCTTGAAGCAAAGACTGATGCTTTAAGCTTGAGCCCACCGTAAGCTTGCTAATAGCTTCCATTGATAAAACTAATACAATTGCCCCTAAACTAATCTACAAAGTTTAAATGGGACACCCACTTTACCCACTTCCTTTGACCTAAGTTAATTATTGTATCTTGTTATATGTGGTCTCTGATCACTTGGTACATTCTGCAACCTCCAATATGGTGCCAAGAACTGATATTTTTTCTTTAACAAGTCTATGTTCATTAATTGCAATTTCCATTGCAGGAACGATAGTATCAGTTTCAGAAGACCGATTTGCATACCTAATCAGACCACACTAAGACTCCTTTTAATCGGATCGGTAGGGTAAGATCTCCACCAATTCTGAATTCTCTGACGTGCAAGCGAACGCGAGATCAGCTCAGTGGCAAGAGATTTGTTCCGGTCCAGAAAAAAATAACTCAAGGTACCAATACCTCATAGTACCAAATCGTTTCGGGCAATGTTAGATTCAATGATCGGAAACCATTTGGTACCGTACCGGTACCTTGATGTATTTTTTTTTGTTGGACTGGAGCCAATCTCTAGTGGCAAACATGGTGTGGTGGAGAATGTGGTCTCCAGGTCGGCCTATATATGCCCACATCCACAGCACAAATTGATGCACCCATCCTTTTTCGTTTTCATCCACACTGTGCGGCTGCAGTTCGACCAACCTGCCGTTTTGCATCTGCATTTCAGCATTTGAAAATGGAATAAAATCCTCATGCGTCAAATAGCTGAATCTGTCCTGAGAATTTGGCTCACCATTTGCTGTTCTAGCTAGACAGTGCATTTGCATTGGTGTTGGAGCTGTTCATCACCTCACATGCAGAATAAGCCCCTTTGAATCAAATAATTTATATAGGAATTTTATAGGATTCAAATCCTATAGGAAATTTTCCTATTTGGCAATTTGATTCAAAGGATTGAATCTTTCCAAATCCTATAAAATTCCTATGGAATGGCACATTGCATGTGGATTTTGGAGGAAATTTAGCAAGAGCTCCAATCTCTTGGAAAATTTCCTTTGAGTCTATCTCTCTCGTCCGATTCCTACGTTTTTCCTGCGCTCCAATTAAACGACCATTCCTGTGTTTTTCCTGTGTTTTGCAATCCTCTGTTTCACACTTCAATTCCTGTCAGAATCATGTGGTTTTTCTATTCCTCCGTTTTGTCTACCCTGCGATTAAAGGGACCCTAAAAGCGCCCATTTTACTCGTAGAGATTTGACATTTGGGCACAGTGGATAACTGAAGATGATGATACGTGCCGCATGTACGGGGGCATCTGTACCATGTCTGCAACGCGTATCGCGACTACTGTATCAGGTGACCACTTTTGCTGTAGCCGCCCCGGATAAAACGGAGGGAAATGGCCGGGGATGCGGGGCATCGCGACAGCAACGCGATGATATATCCCATTCGTTTCGTATCGTCTCGTCGGAGAACCAAACCGCCGGCACAATTTTAATTCTTCGGCGGCAGCCAGTGGCAAATCTTGCACGCGTCTGGCTGCTCTGGCATTTGATTCTTGGAACGGACATGCATGGGTCGCCGGATGCGTGCGCACTCTTCGCGTGCGTTAGATAGCATTGGCAAGGAGATCCTCAAGTATAATACCCAATCATGGATAAGTTTGTTGCTATAATGTATTTTATAGTTTTATAGTTTAGAGTTTAGCGTTTAGACCTTTCACTGAAAGGTACTTCCTCCGTTTCATAATATAAGTTATTCTAGTATTTTCCACATTTATATTGATGTTAATGGATCTAAACATATATCTATATAGATTCGTTATATGACTAGATTCATTAAGATGAATATGAATGTGAGAAATGCTACAATGACTTACATTGTGAAACGAAAAAAAGTATATGATAACAGAAGTTATTAGTTTGGTTTTATTGTTCCCACTCAATCAACAGTCATATGATGAAGAAAGGGGAGAGGGGTGAGTTATTGTTTTTCTCTAAAGGCATGGCTTTATACATGTGGGTAGCTAGTGCAATATAAAGACAGATACAGTAATGAAGCAGACCATTCGTATCCATAGTGACATTCTCTCTATATATATTACGGATGCCCTAAATCACTAAAAAATAAATTAAACAACAACTACTAAATTATGGAAGCAATATTTATATTTATGTTCTTAGCGGTTTAAAAATTAATGCTGTAAATAAACCACAATATATAAAAAAACTCAAAATCAACTATAAAATAAAGTCAACAAGGAGGCTAAGGTACTTTTTTTTATATTGGTTGATAAGTGATAACCCTTCGCTATTTAATTTTCCCACCATCTACACTTCTCATCCAATCATAATATTTTCCTATTTAATTATATTAACTTTTTTAATAACTGTGTGTAGCCCCTTAAAATCCTATATTCTGCGATGGAGGTAATAATCTCTGACAAACTGTGAAATAACTTGATAACATTATAACAAACTGTGACAAGAGGCGACAAGGTGAGTGAACGAACCAAAACAGCCCCAATAGACCCAGTCTGCTGGCCAGAGCACAGCCACGTCATCAGCGGTGCGGTGCGTCCATGTAAGGAATAGTAAGCACCCTGCAGGACAACCGAGCCCATTCGCTTGCTTGGGCTTTCAAGGCCCAACCAGCCACGGCCCACATGATGCATGTCAAAAAAGGCCCAACCAGCCCAAGACAAGGAGAGAGGAGGCCGAGGCCCCCCGCGCCGGCGGCCGCAAGGGAAGGAAGGAGACGCTCTCACCGGCGAGGGTTTAGCGCCGCTTTTCTCAGGGTTTCTCGGCGGGCGGCGGCGCGCCAGCTTCCGTCGACCACGAGGCTAAAACCCTAATCCCGGCGATGAGGCGGCTGCCCAAATCGCTCCTGCTCGCCTCCCTCTCCAAGCCCTTCCTCCGCCGCAACCGGGAACCCCTCCCGCTCCTCCGGCCGCCGCCGCGTCCCCTCCCGCGCGTGCTCCCCTTCGCCGCACGAACCCTAGCCGCGCCGGCCGCTCCTCCTCCCGAGGCGGCGCCGGCTGCTCAATCCGATGGGTTCGCGCTCCTGGAGGCCGCCCAGCTCCGGGAGGCCGCGGACGACCACCAGGAGGCCCTCGCCCTCGCCATCAAGGCGCTCGAGCCGCTGCAGGCGTCGCACGGCGGCTGGTCGCTCCCCGTCGCGCGCACCCTCCGCCTCGCCGGCGCCGCCGCGTCCCGCCTCGGCCGCCTCACCGATAGCCTCGACTCCCTCAACGCCGCGGCGGATATCATTGATTCCCTGGAGGCCGGGGACGCGGAGGTGGCCGCGGTTGGCGCCGCTGTCCACGAGCAGCTCGCGCGCACAAAGACGGCCATGGGGCGCCGGTGGGACGCGGCGTCTGACCTCATGCGCGCCATGGAGCTGAAGGCCGTGTTCCTGGAGAAAGGGAGTTTGGAGTTGGGAAATGCTTACAAGGATGTCGCCGAGGCCTACAGAGGCGTACTGGCCTGTGACAAAGCGTTGCCACTGTGCCTTGAGGCGTTGGAGATTGCCCGTAATCATTTCGGAGGAGATTCCCAAGAGGTGGCTAAGGTCCGGCAGCTTCTCGCGACCATCTATGCTGGATCAGGTCGAAATGAGGAGGCACTGGAGCAGTATGAAATCGTTCGGATGGTGTATGAGAGGCTGGGGTTGGATGTGGAGCTTTCTCTGGCTGAAACTGATGTGGCCATGGTGCTGGTTTTGTTGGGGAGATCTGAGGAGGCAATGGATGTTCTTAAAAGGGTGATCAATCGGGCTGGCAAAGAGAGTGAGGAGCGTGCACTAGCATTCGTTGCAATGGCAAATATTTTGTGCATCCAGGACAGAAAGGCCGACTCAAAGCGGTGCTTAGAGATTGCTCGTGAGATTCTTGACACGAAGATTTCTGTGAGTCCCTTACAGGTTGCGCAGGTGTATGCAGAGATGTCGATGTTGTATGAGACAATGATAGAATTTGAGGTGGCGCTGTGTTTGATGAAGAAAACACTTGTGTTTCTCGACGGCGTATCTGAGATGCAGCACATTCAGGGGAGCATATCAGCTAGAATGGGGTGGCTTCTTCTGAAGACCGAAAGAGTAGATGAGGCTGTTCCATATCTGCAGAGCGCAATTGAAAAATTGAAGAACTGCTTTGGACCATTGCACTTTGGATTAGGGTTTGCTTATAAGCATTTGGGAGATGCTTATCTTGCCATGAACCAATCAGAGTCAGCTATAAAGTACTTTACTATTGCGAAGGACATTATTAATGCTACATATGGGCCAAAACATGAGGATACTATCGACACCATCCAGTCCATTGCAAATGCATATGGGGTGATGGGAAGGTAATCTTTTCCACCCTACTCATAGATTTTATTGTACCACTGGGGGTCTTAGATACATTTAGTATACTGCTATTACTGATGCACTAGTTGTTAATTACTTATTATAGTTAGAGGTCAATATGGTCAGTGGCTCGATATTGCATAGAAGGATATTAGAAAGGGGTATGCTTGTTGGCTACATAACAATCTTTCCCTTGTAAGCTCACATTTGGATACCCAGAGCAATCTACTGGCAGCATAGATGGAATATAGGAACAAATCGTTTTTTAGGGACACTTGCATTGATTTGATCACCAAGACTGAGTTCATCTTTAACCTTCAGACCATCTGTTCTATTTTTTTCTCAACCATAAATGGGTGATATATTTGTTTCAATGATACATCCTTGTATCTCGCAAAGTTATGTAAGTCATCTTAATGACATTCACTGTAAGCCTGAAGAACTTGAATCAAAGCAAATCGTTCTTGTAAGCATGGCAACTTCATTTATTTTGCATATGGAAACTGCCAAAACTTATTGTCAATATCGTAGCTTTCAAGTTCTTCACTGATGCTGTCACAGACTTCCAAGAGATGCTTCTGTAACATATTTATATGTATAAAAAGAACTAGTAAAGTTATAATGTCATGGAATTATTTTTCAAAAAAAAAAATCAACTCATATCATTATAGGACTAAGAAATTATCAGGAAATTGTCTTCTTATGTTGCTTGCTGAGCCATCTACAAGTAATTCTTGGCATTTTGCTCTGATTTTATCATCATGCTGTGGAATTGAGTGACCCCTAGTTTATCATGCATACCAATAAGCCAGACTGCGCATTAATTAATATAACAATTTTCGGTATTCATAAATATGCATAAGCATATGCATTTACTGAGCAGTGGCTACTGGTTGATATCTCAACTTTATGTCCAGTTCGATAGGAGATCTGGTATTGAACAATTAAATGCAACATGACCATGTTATAATGAAGCCTTGTTAAATGACTCTTAGTGGCATTGTGGCTTTACTCATTTAATATTGCTCTGAATTGCAGCTACAAGCAGGCAATGGATTACCAAGAACAAGTTATAGATGCTTATGAAAGCTGTGGCCCTGGTGCTTTCGAGGAACTCAGGGAAGCTCAAAGGCTTCGGTATCAGCTAAAAATAAAAGCCCGAGGTTTACCTCATGCATGCTTCCCTGCCAACTCATTGCCAACTAAATTCCAAGACCGAGAATAGTTCTTCTCTCATCAACGTCCACCACCTAGATGATTCAATGGTAAATTATGTTTTTATAATTTTGATGCATTGACTCCATAAAAATCATTCTTGTTGAGTTAGTGGACGATTATTCCTGCAGTAAACATGGTCACATGGGCATGAGGATCTTTCTAGTATTATAAATCAAGTTATTTACCAAGGGCCCTGACAGCTGATAATCAGCTGATATGAGTATGTATACTGTGGAAGCAAACACCTGAACTTGCTGAAATTATATGTAGTATGCATATTTCTCCGCAATAATGTTTTCATGAGGATTTTGTGGCTCAGAGTTATTTCTGGTTGGATTGACTGCATTTAGCTAGTATTTAAAGAATTATGGTTAAATTGGCTACCGTTGCTTACTTTGCCAAGCAAGTAGCTTATAAATCTGTTGTGCATGAACCTTTTTTCGCACCTTGTTATTTGAGCTTTCTGTTATTTTATGCATGCCAGCTAAATTTCAATTGCCAATACATCTATTACCTGTAGAAGTATTGATTTTGTAATGCATTTGGTTCGAAACAGTCACATATTATCTAGATCGGGGTGTCTTGCAGTTGGTAGAACATTGGAGTTACCATGTTTTGATGTTTTGATATGCCTGCGTGTTATGTTCTGTTTAATCTATCCTGGAAAAGTGACGACTGTGGCACTGGAACAAGCTTTATGGTGCTTGCCATGGATTCATTCTTTGTATGGGTTTGTATGTTTGTTACCTGGAATTATGCCTTCCGTCTTCCAAGTTACATGTGCAATAGCTTTCCTTGTCAAGAGTCCCCCTCCCCTCTTTGGCTATATGACTTCAACTGGGGCTAAAACTTGACAAACCAATGTGTGTGTGGAGAGAGAGAGAGAGGGGTTGTCCTATAAAAGAACCCTGCACTGACTACTTACTGTTCTGACGCTGTTTCTATAGCCAAACAGTTCGGACAGTAAATGCACGTTTGTCCTTACTGGTTTTCTTGTATGGCATGACTAGACTGTCCTTGCACTTGCATCTTCTCCATACCTGCCGGTTGATATTTAGTATGCATGGTCAAGCATAAAATCAAAGACAGTTGCATTGCTAAAGTTCTGACTCAAAGTTTGTTAGTGGCCTCTCATCACATAGTGCATTAGAAACTAGCAGTTCACTTCTAAATTACAAATATATTTTGAAAGTCAACGTTTTGATCCAGCTTGTTGTATCCTCTTTCTCTCATGCTGACCTTGAAGCTTTTTTAAGATTACACTTGGAAAATAGGGAAAATGGGTGATGCTTATTTACATGGTTCATTTTATACCTTTTGTATTCTTCAGTTAAAAGCGTTGGCAAAGTTGACATGCTAGCATTTTTTTTTCGAGGAAGACATGCTAGCAAAATCCACACCATCCATTAGAATATTCTGCAAGCTAACCAAATATGCTAAAATTTCAGTTTTTAGAAAGAACCATGTACTGACCAAATGGCTAATTTATGGCTAGGTGTGAATATAGGACATTACAAGACTTGGTATATCTTTATGAGTGGCAGTTAGTGCATGACACAGTTTGTGTATCGAGCACTGGAAATCATGATACTTGATGATGTCCACTACTTCACTTTTAGAATATTTACCTGACGAGAACTGGATTCATGTATTTGCCAAGTTGGAAGTATCAGTTCTACTCCTTCCGTTTCAAATTACTTGTCGTTTTAGTTTAGCTTTGTCAATTGTCATAAGTCAAACAGTTGTAAGTTTGACCATTAATTTCTGAAATTTTACATAGTTTAACATGCGAATTATATTGTGAAAGTATTTCTCATTGTGAGTCTAAAAACATAAATCTTACTCCCTATAATGTTAATCTATATAAATTTATAGAAATTAATGGTCAAAGTTAGGAATGATTGACTTAGGACAAAGCTAAAATGACAAGTAATTTGAAACAGATGGAGTATTATCTTCACTGAGACGGGACAATAGACAAAATTGTATGAATCCTTCACTACAGTGGCTCATTCCTTGATTATAATTATCAGTAATTCAGTTACCTTGGTGGCAATGCTTTCTTAATGGAAATGCAAGATTAGTGCATAAACCTTGCAATGGTGGGACTCTTATTTATGTATTTGCCAGGTTGGAAGCATCAATTAGATAATCTTCACTGAGGTGGGACCATCGACAATTTTATACGTGTCCTGCACTACATTGGGTCACTGGCTCATTCCTTGGTTATGATTACCAGTAATTCAGTTACCTCGGTGGCAATGCTCTCTTCTTAATGGCAATGCAAAATGAGTGCATAAACCTTACAGTGGTGGTACTGGATATATGCATTTGCCAAGTTGGAAAATTTTGTACGCATCCTGCAGCACGATGACTCATTCCTTGATTATGATTACCTTGGTGGTAATGCTCTGTTTTTAATGAAAATGCAGAATGAGTCCAGAAAATGGTGGGACTGACCATAGGACCGACTGGTACGCTTTGCTTGACTTTGGAACATAATTCAAATTTATTTTCAGCACGCGTGCTGATTGTGATTTGCAGATTGAGAGCAATATTGGCATTGTTCGGCACTCAAATAATTAAGGAACGATAGAAGACTGTTTAGTTGCTGGCAGACAGAAGGTATTCAGAAGTGTGCGCAATCGGCTGAGGACCTCCATGGCAAGTTCTGCTCATGAGCTCAGCAGTTTTGCAGGCTTAGTCATGCATGGGCGTCCTGAGCCTCCTCCATATGCATCAGAGATGGTTGCGGTGATATTCAATGGCGACTGCTGCTGCGGCTCTGGTTGACCACTCAGTAACATCAGACATCCCCAGAGATCACTGCATCAGTGGTGGTCTCTAACTTCCAGTACTCCTACGATGGTGCAAGCATCTCAATCCATTCACTGCCTCTATCATGTTGTTACCCCAACAGTTGCATTTGCTCAGGACCAGCAGAATTACGCTCTTTTTTTCTTCTGTCTCTCATACATCAATTGGCATTTATTGCGAGATTGGGCATGATTGCGATGTACTTCTATCAGTTGGTGATGGACAGCGAGGGCTCAATGTGAGCTTCGCTTAACATGCTTGCTGCCATGCTTGTGCCGTTAGGGAGCATGTGGATATCACCGTCCAACTCCCAGTGGGAAGAAAGCAAAGCAATCGCGAGGGCAACCTTGGAAGCAGAAGCAGAACACCTACAGTGTCAGTGAGGTTCCATGTCTCTTTGATGCCTCTGTTTTGGAATGGATCAACTGACTAATGCCTGGCCATCTCTATCTGTGGTGTAGCAATGTCCCAGCTTCATTGGATCAAGTCTCGTGAGTTCTGCTCAGCTGCACTTTTATGGCCTTGGGGTAAGAGATTTGTTTCTGACACTCCTACTGACGAGTTGTTCTCTTTCCATGGTCACATACAGTTCTCGTTGTCAGTTACTTCAAGTCCTTGTGAATTAGTGTCGTGTCCATTTGCTGCTGCATCTCGTGGCTATTTGCTGCTGTTTGGACTTAAGAGTAACGCAAATGGTCCCCTTGCCTTGTTTCTCTGCCTGTGCCCACCAGCACCAACAGACACCAAGAAAAGAAAATCTTACATTCGTGTCATTTTATATTTTCAACCAAATCCATTAGGCCATTTCAGTTTATTTTAGGTTAACGGACCTCTTGCCACTCAAGAATGGTGACCTACAAATTGATCTCATTGTGCTGCTAGAAGATACCACTAACGCCATGTTTCAGTTAATTCCTAGAGGAAGGAATTAGATATAGCATTCCTCCAAATCCCCCTCAATTCTTTTGAGGGAGGGAATAACATAATAAGATATGGTACGAGTATAGCATAAAATATGGTTAATCCAAATTAAATAAGATCAACTTTCATCACTAAGATACTACTAAGAGCAATTTTTATCCAAATATCCAAATACGGTTTTAACATAAAACAAATGGTGGTTCGGTGGTTCCAGCTTAAAAAAGTTATACATTAGTGAATCCTTGGATTTTATCCAATTTTCATAGTTCCTTACTTTCCAGAAATATCACAGTATCCATCTAAAAGAATAACAATCATCATAGTATGTGGGACAAACTGTTACCACGATTGCCATTTGTCTGTGTCCTTCGTTTACGCTGCTTTTTGTACAGTTCAGGTTTTTGTCTGCTAGTAAATGTCACGGTAAAACTATGTGGTAGGCCAACATTGAAGTCATCCTCATCGCTAGTGGTCAATATCGTCTTGGCAGGTAGATTCTACAGGACACTGTATTCAGATTAACAGCTTTTCTGTGAGAAAAAAAATCCAGATTAACATTTCGGCCCCATTGGCCCATCCTGTCATCTGAGATTTAATAAAACATGCATACTTTCATGATGACAAAAATGCGAATCTGTCCTTGAGGGGAGAGGCTTGGGATAAGCTGCTACATAAGCTACAGTAAAGCCAGCTAGAAAGCAGCGTCCATGAACAAAATTGTCCCTTGGCAAAACCTCTAGATCCTCTTCTTTGCCAAACTGTCAGAAAATCTAGTGCCCTTGTTCTGCATGTGAAGGTTTCGCATCGGCTAACCAGCAGTCGGCATGTTTCACTCGGAGGGCTAAGTTACTATTTAGTATAACAGAAAAGCTGAGTCACTAGTTACTACTGTTTAGGCTGAGTTCTGCGTTTGGGACGGTAAATCCCTCTTTTTCAGTTAGCATATTTTTTAAACTGTTAAATGGTGTGTTTTATGTAAAAATAATTTTATAGAAGTTTTTTTTAAAATCAAACAAATCTATTTTTTAAATTTGTAGTAACTACTCGACTAATTATGTGTTAATGATCTACTTTTTTAGCCGTCAACGGCTCTAACCCAACAACACCAACGAAGATGGTATGTGGGTATTTGCCTTTGATAGTTAAGTCCTAGAGAGAATATATTCTATACCATTGAATTTGTTTGAGTTCAACGATTTACCATCGATATTGTCACTTTTTATAATATACCAGCGACTTTATTAATTGTTCTATAATACGTCATTGGGTTGGGACTTCTTTTGAAAAATACTCTTAGAGACATATTGTAACGACCCGCCTCTCCCAGGCCGGGCCTGCTTACATCTGTTCTTTTGAAAAATACCCTTAGAGACATACTGTAACGACCCGCCTCTCCCAGGCCGAGCCCGCTTATATCTGGCAGCTTTCATAGGTCATAGACTGTTCTCACAGGCCAACACATGTCTTTTCTGCACACTTTGTCCTCACTCGTGTGCACCCGGGAAGAATTTCCCGATCGGTCACCCATCCCAAATTGCTCTAGGCCAAGCACGCTTAACCCTAGGCCTAGGCCTAGGGCTTAATAGGATTAATAGAATACTCATATCAACAAGTTGCAACTTCTTTTCCGGAAGCCAATCTCCAAAGAACTCTTTGGGATGGGTGACCGACCGGGAAATTCTTTCCGGGTACACACGAGTGGGGACAAAGTGTGCAGAAAAGACATGTGTTGGTCTGTGAGGGAAGCCAATCTCCAAAGAACTCCAGGGTTAAGCATGCTTGGTGACTGACCGGGAAATTCTTCCCGGGTACACACGAGTGAGGATAAAGTGTGCAGAAAAGACATGTGTTGGTCTGTGAGGGCAGTTTATTATGACCTATGAAAGCTATCAGATGTAAGCGGGACGTTACACATACAATGTTAACAATTGATTTATTTCATTAGAAGTTTCAAAAAATTATGAAAACTTTTATGTGGCCTCTTTATATAGGAAAAAGTACGAATTACCCCCCTGAACTATCGCTCCAGTCAGCATTTTTTAAAAAAAATAATCGGTGGGACCTACCTGTCAGCTTCTCTCCCCCCTCATTCCCTTTCTCTCTCTCTTCCATCATGCTCTCTCTCGGTGCGGCGAGGACGATGGTGGACGGCAGTGTCGCGGGGAGGGCACGGCGGCCGGTGGGCCGAGCCGAGGAGAACGGTGGAGGCGACGGGCAGTGCCGAGGAGGACACTAGAGGCGGCGGACGGCGGCGCTCGCGGGGAGGGTGGCGGCCGGTGGGCCGCGCCGAGGAGGATGGTGGGGGCAACGGCGGTGACGACTGGCTGGAGGAGGCGGGGTTCGAGGTGAGGGTGGCGGCCGGCGATAAGGCTTTGAATGGGGAAAGTGGCCGACGTCCAGCCTTCATGTCCTGCGCCGCCGACCACCGCCTGCCCCCGTGCCGACCACCCGCGCCGCCGCCTCACCTCCGCGGCGCGTGGCGCGGCTCTCGATCCGCCTCCGCCACCGGTCGCTGAGGCGAGCTCCGCCTCCGCCCCGGTAGCCCGGTCCACCACCGGCCTCCGCCTCCGCCTCCGTCCCCTGTCACCCAGGCATGCTCGGCCTCAGCCGCCACCGCCCGCTCCGCCACTGGCCGCCAGACACCCGACGAACTTCTGTCTCCGCCGCCGACCGCTCGCTCCCACTGGCCACCCACTGCCTAGGCGAGCTCCGCCACCGGCCGGTCTGCCTCTGCCGTGTACGCGTGTTGCGCCCGATAGAGAGAGGAGAGAGAGGAATTGGGGAAAAGAAGGTATGACATGTGGGTCCCACCATTATTTTAAAAGAAAATGATGACTGGATTGCCACGTGTACGCCACGTAGGACGAAACCGCTCTAGATTCGGTCAAGGGGGGTAATTCGTCCGATATAAGAAGTTCAGGGTGAGTGATACCTGGTTTTCAGGTTCAGGGGGGTAATTCGGACGACCGCAATAGTTCAGGGGGGGTAATTCGTACTTTAAAAAAATTAGGTTTATATAGAAGTTTTAGGTTTTTTACATTTTTTTTAAAAATGTAACTTATCTATTATATGATATATAATTTTTTTTATTGTTGTTTTTGGGTCTGTTCAGATTGTAGCCAAAATAAACCTTACCAAGTTTTGGCAGTGCCAAAATTTTGGTAAGATGGCAATATTGTCAAAATTTTAGCAGGATTTCTTATGTATTGATCAAATTTGGCAACAAACTAAATGTAGATATTTTTTTAACAACTTTGCCAAAAAGGTATGGTTGAAAATGACATCAAAGTGAATAAACCCTTTAATATAAATCATCTTTCATACATTGCATAAGATATTTTGTGCTTTATCTCTTGTATAAGCAAATTCTTTTGCATATACCACATAGAAATATTTTTTTATATAAAAACTAAATATACCGAAAAAACTTGAAACTTGTATACAAACTTGCATGTTGTGTAAAGAGGCTACACAAAAAGTTTTATATTTTTTGAAACTTCTAATGAGATAAATCAAATGTTAATCTTGTATGTCTCTAAAGGTATTTTGGGTATTTTTGAAAAAAAAGGCTCACCCAATGGCGTATTGTAGAAAAATTGATAAAATCACTAGTATATTATAGAAAGAGACAATGTCGATGGCAAATCGTTAAACTCAAACAAACTTAATGGTGTAGATTAGATTCTCTCTAAGATGTAAGGGGTATTTGGTTTAGTCTTTATGCTCTAGCGGTCCTTAAATTTGTTAGCATGTGTTCTTTAGAACCATAAACTAAGATGTATGTAGATTCAAGGCCCTAAGCTAGTTAAAGTACATTATTTTAAGTCCAAAATTACCATGTGTCCCTTAAAGAAACTGTGTGGTGTTGATGTTGATAACACCTCACACCTCGTGAGACTCACCCTCCTTTCTCTCTCTTGCTCCATTCAGCCAAGTATCATGAGCTCCAATAGAATTTCTTGGATTCGAATTAGGGATTTTGAGGAGTGATGAAGAAAGGTAATCCTCAACAATTTTGACTTTTTTTTTCTGATTTATATGCCACATCAAATGCATAGTGTGCCATATTAACAAACGTATAGAAGGGTATGTGGTAAATTTTTATCTAGATGATATACTTTGATAAGTTTAGGGAATTGGATTTGCATTTTATATGCTTATAAGACTAAAGACCACTCGCTTATTTTACTCTAATGTAAATTGAGACAAAAATAGCAGAAAGGATCAAAATCGATTGTTTTGGGTAATTCAAAGCCCCAGTATTTGATTTTTTTTATCTATTAGGAGAGTTTTTGGTAGCCGAACCCCAGAATCAAAAGCACTTCAGCTTTTCATCAAGATTTGTAGTTGCAGAATCTAGAAGATAAACTAGAAGTTAAAAGTTGGTTCGAGATTCTCATCAGCTGCTTCTCAGAATCTAAAATTCCTCCAAACATGCCCTAAATGTGACACTCATATTATGGGTGAGCTAATTCCACCACAAAAATCTTAACCAATTAAGGCTATGCATAGCGTATTAGGAATGATGCTTCTCAAAATCTAAGCTCCTTCAAACATGTCCTAAATGCGATACTATGCTATGGGTGAGCAGATTCCACTACAATGACCCTAACCAATTAAGCCATGTATGGTATTTTAGGAAGGATGTTTATCAAAATCTAAAACTCGAAACATATCCTAAATGCCACACTCATATTATGAGCGAGGAGATTTTACCATAAAGACCCTAAGCAATTGAGACCATGTGTAGCGTTTTAAGAAGAACTGACGAGCTTATTGTCCTTAACCGCAGTGTGCACAACTGCACATGATAACATATGTTTCGCAAAGCTTTCACCAAATTAAGCTATACCGAAAGAATCGTTCCAAGTTTCCAACCTTACCGAATCCTTGTCCCTCCGAAAATAAACTACGCGAGCGAGAGTGACAAACGCCGCACTGGAAAGGCATATCTAGTAGTGCTTAGGGTTCGTAGCTACTGTAGCTAGAAACGTTGGGAGGCCGTCTGATGTTTGGGGAAAAATTGGACGCTGACGTCAGCATGACGTTAGCGCCCAATTTACGTGCAAAAACTATTTTAAATTGATTTTTCTCTTAAATTACTTATCCAAATCATGATTCGATTGCACCATTAAATTCGTTGCAATTAAATCTTCAAAACAAGACCACACATGGATATATTCCGACGAAATTTTTTTTAGCTTATTATTGAATTATTTTTAAATGTTGCGCGATGTTCCACTAGGTATATCGGAATTGTTTCACTAAATAGATCGAAAATGTTTCACTTGTTTAAATCGGGTGTTATTTCACCTTATATAAAAATAATGTTTCAGCAAATAGCGAAAGAATGTTTCAGTTCACTGCAACATTTGATTCATATATAGTGAAATATTATAAGTACACTAGGTGAAATATTTTTCGGTGGAAAAAAAAAGAAACGAATTCCCTTAATAGGGGGTTTCAAAATATGTGGGTTTTTTGTTGCAATGGAATATTTCAGTTCACTGTCAAATTAGATCTATACATAGTGAAACATTGTGAGTACACTAGGTGAAACACTTTTTGTGGAACAAAAAATAAACCAAATTCCCTTAATAGGGTGTTTCCAAAATATGTGGGTGATTTTTTGCAATGGCGCGTTCCATAATATCAAAATCCACTGCAACATTTGATCCATACATAGTGAAACATCACAAGTACATTAGCTAAAACATCGTAAAACTACTTGATGAAACATCGAAAGAGATCATATGCAACATTAAAAAAATATCAATAGAAAAGCTAAAATATTTTTTGTCGAAATATAATCATGTGTGATTTTGTTGTAAAAATGTAATTGCAACGAATATAACGGTGTGATCGGATCGTAGATTGGATAATTAGTTTAAGAGAAAAATCGTTTTAAAGTAAAAGTGGCAGGCGGCGCGGGTGTTCGAGGCATCCAATTTTTCCACTGCCATTGGACGCCCGGCGCGCAGCTTTTTCCGGAACGTTGGCCACCCCCTCACCAACCGTGGAAACGCACTGCACTGCTTGCTTGGATTGGGTGGGCGATGGCATCGGACACGGAACATCCAAACGTGCATGCAGGGGGCCAAAAAAACCTTTTTCGTGCGTGGTCATGTTATTCCATCTGCTCCGCCATTTGCACTGCACGACGACGTTATCATGCCACTTCGCAATTATTTTTTTTTGGGTCTGGTGTTAGCTAGCTCAGCTCGATCCCTTCCTTGGTCCCCATGGAGAAGAAGGAAAAAAAAAAACCCACATCGCTCGCCGCAGCTGGCTGGTGATGCCTCACCCGAAAGCACACACGCTATCAACGTTGACATCCCACCCTCCGTTTGTGCCCCCCCCCCCCCCCCCTCCTCCTATTAGATGATTAGCTCTGCATCCTGTACTCCAACTAACCAAATCTACCCTCACAGATCGGAATCATCCTGTACTCCAACACCAGGATGTACATGACGCATGACCACTCGTAAAAATTGCCCAGTTTCCATACACCAATGGCTGTTTCTTTTCGCGTAAAAAGTGCGTTTTTTTTTGGGCCAGCGCGGTTGATGGAACGGTTCGCGGCCCGAGCTAAGCTAGCGAGAGGGAGAGCCGGGGGGCCCTTGCTGCACGCGAGTGGCTACGACGATTTTGACAGCAAAAGTGGCCGTGCCCCGTGCACACGACGCGACGCTGGCTGATAGAAGAGGTGATGGCATTAGCTTACAAAAACCCTTGGTGACATTGCTAGGACCCAGCGTCTTTCACATTCTCTTCTCTTTAGCATGTACAGTATGTGTAGTAGTTAGCTGCTGCTAGCTACCGCCACGTAACAGTTCTCCCTTTGGAAATGTCCGGTCCAAAACCTTAACTGCTTGCCCGTGCGTTAGTTACCAGACCTGTGGCCAATGTTTTTTCTTCTTCTTTTTTACCTTTGCTCACATCCTCACGTGAGAAATTGGATCCTGCAAATTAATGTGTAAAATCCTATAGTACTCCTGGGCACTAAAAGTAATGCACAGAATCGGTATTCTTTTTTAAGAAAAAAAGCTTGCCTAGCTACAAAAGAATTGAATTTTCACCACCAACTACTGCATGCTACGTACTAGCTAGCGAGCAAATGTACAGGCCGGCACCGTACGTACATACGTATACGTACGGCTGTTGCCCTACGTAGGATGGTTGACGAATCGGTGTATCATCATCATCAGAAGAGAGAGAGAGAGAAAAAAAAATAATGTGTACATTTTTTTTTGTTACACTTGCCTCTGTTGGGTTAGGAACTCCTGCACGGACACGTAGAGCTGCTTGTGGCAGGAGTCGTCCATGGACAGCGACCTCCTCATCGGCTGCACCGCGAACTCCTCGTCGTACTTCTTCCTCGTGTCGATGGCCTCGTCGCCCACGCTCTCCGGCTTCCGCCGCCGCTGCGGCGTCCGCTTGGTCGCAGGCGGCGCGGCGGCGGCGCCGCCGCGGTGGCTAACCCAGCTCTCGTGCTCCCCTCTCACCTCGATCACGATGCTGTTGATGAGCTCGTCGTCCGGCCGGTGGTTGTGGTTGTGGTGGTGGTGGTGGTGGCGCCGCGCGCTCTCGGCGTCTTCGTCGTCGTCGGGGTGGGTGGCCGAGGTGGGCCGCACCGGCGCCGCCGCCGCCGGCGGCGTGAACGGCAGCGTGACGTCGCTCCGGCAGAAGGGGCAGCGCGCGTTGCCCTGCAGCCACGTGTCGATGCAGTCGATGTGGAAGGCGTGGGAGCAGTTGGGCAGCAGCCGGACGCGCTCCCGCTCCACGAACTCGCTGAGGCACACGGCGCACTCCGACACGGATATCCTCGCGCCCACGCCGCCGCCGCCACCTTCGCCGCCGGCGCCGCCGCATGCCGCCGCCGTGAACCTCACGACGGGGAGCATCCGTATAAACGGCATGCCGAGCCCCCGCTCCTCGGTCGCCACGGTGCGGATCACCGACGCCTCCCGCGCGGCCCGCCGCCGCGCGCCGCCGCCGCCGTGCCCGCGCCACGGCATCGCGCCGCGGGACCACAGCCCGCGCAGCGCCTGGCACTTGGTCACGAACGCGTAGTAGCTCGCGAGCAGCGCGAACGCCGCGAGGATGCCGACGACGGTGATGACAACCATCGGGACGCTCGCGTTCGACGACGACGGCGACGAGGAGCGGAATGCCGGTGGCGCGTCCATTTTTGTAGCGCTCCCCGCCGTGCCGCCTAACGAGAGAGGCGATACAGTTGAAGGCAGAAAAGTGTGTGTGACAACCGCACAGCGCGCGAGAGCAGCAAACTATCCGCTTTCGCGAGAGGGACGTCGAGCCGCTCTGGAGTAATAGCCGATGGCAACTCTCATCTCATCTCATCTCACGCCATGTTTTAATGTTTTATCACCTGTTCACCTCTCTGCCTGACGCCAAGGCAACATGACTACGTGACACTTCACCCAAACTCCATACAAACCACAAGCAGAGTAGTTAGCACGTATTCTATCCGTCTCAAAATATAACGACATCCAAATATTTCTGTCAAAATTTATACTATTAAAATGTGTCCCTTTTGATCTTACTGGGATGGACGTGGTAGTAGTGTGTAGGCTTTCTGGTCCTATTAAAGGTTTAATTGGTGATTATGACTTGTGAAATGTGAGTGAGGGTCTTATGATAAGATGATTGGCTCCAATCTCAGCCGTCAGTTCACCACTGGTATCATTGATTATCTACGAAATGGACGGTAGATCACTAGATCGCACTGTACAACTGAGGTTGATTGGCACCAGAAAAATATCCAGGTGGTACACAAGAGAGCTGCGGCGTTACATCCACAGGAGCAGTTGGGAAAGCAAAAAAGTTGTGCCTCCCTGCTGGCGTGCACAATTTTTATAGCACGCCGTCGTACGCGCCGTGCACGAGAGTAACTCTCCCATCCTGTACATTTGTAGTACGTACAGCAGGCAGGTTCGCCGCCTTAAAACTTCGAGACGCAGCAGACAGAGTTTGACCCCCCCCCCCCCTCTGTTTTCTTTCCCAGCTAGCTCCCCCTGCCATTAAACCAAACGTAAATACGTAAATTCTTGTCCCCATTACTAACAAGAACAAACCAATTAAAAACTTTTTCCATGTAGAACACACATGGGGAGGAACTGTTCAGATGCTGCTGCAGCAGTAGGCTTACCACGTAGTACAGTACATGGCTGCGCTGCATTTGTAGAGGCGCCCTGTATACCAGCAGTGAAACACCAAGAGAAAAACCGGGGAAGGTTCGGTTCTTGTGCATTGTAGTAGTAATTAATAATGTAGTAGTAGAGCGCGTCTCGTTTGGCACGGCGCACTGTGGCGGCACGCCGCGGTGCCGGTGGTTATGGCGCTGGGCCATGGCCGCCATCATCCAGGTGATTTTGTCCAAAACCGCAATGGCAATTGGCAACATGCTGCGGCGCCGGCACTCCGGCAGCGAGGCAGAGCTGAGCGGGTCGGGGTTTTTTTTCTCTCTCGGTTTCGGCGGTTGGTGCCCCGGTGGACCAGCGAAATGTGACGGTGCAGCCGTGACTACTGAGCAGGGGAGCAACTTTGACAATGCGGCGGTGGGCATGGACCTTGGTTTCGGCCGGTGGACCGACGTGATGTGACGCGCCTGCCTCTGCGACTGGCCCGGCCTACAGGTTCACTGCAATGCTCGGCAGCTTTGGGCCTCCAGAAAAAGGCGCACTTTCAGTGTTGTATTTTTAGCGAATAAAGTCTAATTTAACTACCTCACAAGTGTTCGGATTTGATTCGTATCCCTCAATCGCAAAAGTGGGTATATCAACCCTCACTTTGCACGGTTTTAATAGTTGAAAAGATTAATACTCCCTCAATTCCAAAATATAAGGCATAACCACCCCTAACTCAAAGACTAAGAAATAATTATTATCATCTTGTAGTTTGGATCATCCTAATAAATAAATGCATACATCCAATAGAATTAGAGAACATGAGAGTAGAGGATGTAAAAAAGTAATAATTTAATGGAGAAGGGGCCATAGTTAATTGCCTACATGCACGCATGTCTTATATTATGGAACATCTAAAAAAAGTGGTTGTGCCTCGTATTATGGAATGGAGGGAGTATATCCGATCACTACTGTAGAGTGTTAAATTGGACTTGTTCCTCTTTTGGGGCCAAAATGAGAAGAACCTACTGGGGGCTTGAAAAGGTCACCACGGCCCAATTTGCTCAGGATCGAGCGTGACAAAAGTGCCGTTTTCGTACGGTTGCCATAGCCGACTTGGGCTCGCCATCGTTCTTATGCTACGGTTTCCAACTTGCCATCGCTCTTACTGCTACGTGCGTGGTTTTCTCTGTCTGCCTGCACTTGCTTCCTCCGCTTGTCAACGCGGCAGGTCGGCGGCGTCAGCGTTGAGAAATTCGAGGTTGCCCGCGACGGCGCGCGCTCGTAAAGGAGACTGGCGGCGCGCAAGTTGATCGATCGCGTGCATTGCCCCTGAACAACACCAATGTTTGCCGACCGCTATAGTTGGAAAAAACGCAACGATAATTTTGGAGAAAAGAGGAGCTTTGCACTTTGCTAGAGAGAGCAGGACAGAAATACAGAAGGTTCTTCTGTATCTTGTGTTCTGTTTAATTCCAATCAATGCTGTGAACAGCCATCGATAGCTATGTGTTGGACTTTTTCGCGCTATTGAAGTGACAGTGCCAAAATACTACTCTGGTAGATTCGGGGTCAATATCCGTAAAATATCTCGTGCCATAATCTTAAATGACAGTGAAATAGGATAGCACCCTGAAATTAAAGCACTAGAGCTAACAACATCAAAAGTGCGATTTGCACACTCGATTCCGTCCAGAGCAAACTTATTCCCGTGCGTCTCATTTTTACGCAACGATTCTTTCAATTTTGCCCTTTATCACGAAAATGGTCCTTAGCCCCACATGGCCACATTAAGCACCAAAACTGGCAAGATTACTCTTACGAGCCCCTTGCACCAAAACAGACGTGAGGATGAAGTTTGACAGCGATCTAGAACGAAGTAAACTGCACATGAGGACAACGAAATTTACACGACTCCGACATGGACAGTTGGAAATTACTAACTGCAGAGACAAACTAATGCTCGGACAAAATTTGATGGACTAAATTAATCTGATTTCACCCCTTTTATTTTCTCAAAATCTCTTTCAGCCAAGGAGACAAAATAAAGGGCGTAATGCCCTGATCTTATTAGAAGCATAGCCTTTGTCCGTTAAAAGCGAAATGTTCATAGTCAATTTTAACGTATGTCGACATAGTCTTTGGAGATGTTTATAAATGTTTGACACTTTGACGTATGTTCATCAAACAAGCGTGCTTGCGTATATGAGCGTAGTATTGTGTTTCAAAACCAAAAAGAAAAAAAAAACGGAGGAGATTTTACTGTTTACAGCTCAAGGCGTTCCCTACGTACAGCAATTAAGTCAAAGATCTTGGAATGCAAGCTTCCATCCCATTTGTCTGATGCAGAATTACAACACCGTTCATCATCATGTGACCATATTATTCCTTGCCGCATAGTGAGGCCGTGCCACGATGAAGTCAACCCCTAGCAGTATCTGTTAATCATGAGGAGATCCACATGGGCAGAGACGCAACTAGGCAGAATAACTCGAGTAATTTGCGCCCCTTAACCGCGTATTAGTATTCGTGCAGCAACTGTGCGTGTGTGTGTGCAGCGGTGAGGCGTGGACATCACCGTTTGCCAGCCCGGCCACCACTATTCACGTATCCATGGTCAACTCTGCAACTTGTCGGCTTCATATATATGTATATATATGAAACAACTAGTATACAGTACTAGTTGTAATCCTTTGGTTAGGCGAATAATTAAGCTATATGGTTTTGTTTGACAAATGCTGCTGGCTGCTGCAGTGGCGTGTAGTCCTGTGCTTTTGTGATGCTGTCTAGCTCGCTGCTGGTACTAATTGCTTACTTTATTTGTGCTAATGAGTTAAGTTGATAATTGATTACTCAAAAAAAGTGGTGATGTGTGGGTGACATGAGACTGAGATTGATAGCTCGCTACCTTGTGATATTGACCTGAAAATTGAACTGGTTGGGGTGAGATTGGTAATATCTTTGCACGGCCCCCTGCTTGATCGATCCTGTCATGGCCACCATCCAGGCTTGTTTTTGAAGCCAAGCAAAAATGTTTGTGTCAAGTACAAACCACGCGAAAACTAGGCAGGATTACGGTTTTGCACGCACAAACCGTATAAACGTACGCTTGAAACAAACATGCTCCACCCTCTATCTCGTCCTCCTTTTTTTTTTTTAAAAAAAAAAGAGAGAGAGCACTTGCTTGAATTTTTGTAGCAGTTCACAAAAAGCAATGCTGCGATTTCACGCATGGTTAATGCATGGCAATCTTATACAGTTTCATTGACGTCTGATCCGAAAAGAAAAAGGAAAAACTATTCTGATGTACCAACTAATTAATATCGATCGATCACGTACGAAAGATTGACATGTCCGGGCGGGAACACTTGAGATGCAAGGAGCCAAGAAGTAATCAATGGAACGGCAAAATTCCAACCCCAATTCTGCTATCTGCTGTACACATTGCACGCACACAAGTGGCACAAATGGCTAGTAACTCTCAATTAATTAAGCGGTAAGAGCGAGTTAATTAGGTTGCACGAACCCGAGGTGGTTCATGGGTCGAGGTGGATGGGCAACACCGTGCTCCGCGAGCTCCGGCCGAGCCCGAACGACGACAGCAACCGCCGAAACCGGCCGCTGGTCTCGCCGGCGCCGGCGGTGCCGACGATACTGCTGCTACCGGCCGCGTCGGGGTGGCTCGGCCCGGCCTCCGAGCCTGCGGGATCCTTCGGCGGCGGCGGCGGTGGCTTCCGGCCGAGATCGCCTAGGAAGCAATCCATGGAGAAGGATCGCCGGATCGGCTCCTGCTCGGCCCCGGTCTTGGGGAACCTGCACGAGCTGATCCCGTGGCCCATCCTCGCGGCGGCGTCGATGCGCCTCTCGCCGGCGGCCAGTTCCCGGCTGGACGCGTCATACTGGTCGTCGCGGACGAGGAGGCCGATCGCGCCGCCGGTGACCACCGTGCGGCAGAGCGGGCAGCTGACGTTGTGGTGGAGCCACGTGTCGATGCAGTCGATGTGGAACGCGTGGGAGCAGCTCGGCAGCAGCTTGAGCCGCTCGTCCCGGACGAACTCCGACAGGCACACGGCGCACTCCTGCGGCGACGCCGACTTCCCGGAGGCGGCGCGGCGGTACTTGACGACGGGGAGCGCCGCCACGACGTCCGGGTCGAGCCCGCCTCCAACCTCGGCCTCGTAGTCGGTGAAGAACACCGCGGCGACGCGCTCCGCCGCGCTCTCGCGGCGCGAGCGGTGCAGCAGCCCGGCCCCGGCGGCGCCTCCGCCGCCCGTGCCACGGAGCCAGCAGCGGACGACGAGGAAGTAGTAGCTGGCGAGGATGAGCGAGGTGACCATGAACCCGATGGCGATCACGATCGCGATGGGGAACCCAGCCGTCGGGTTGTCGTACGGCGGGGGCGACGCCATGGGCGCACCTGCCATCCCCGCCGCATCCATCGCAACACAATGTTTCCTCGCTGGAGCGAGAGAGAGAAATAGATGGAGGAGACTGCGCGGCTCGCGACTCGCGAGTGATCCAAGGAAGCGAGGTGCGGGTGAAGGCTGTATCGGTGCGCGTCAGCGCGCGTGGCGTGGCGTCGGCTAAATAGAAAAAAAAAAACCGCGCCACGCCAAGTTGCGGAAGGCGAGGATTAGTTGTTTTTTTTTTTTTATATATCGGTGGGAGGCGCAGGTCGGGGCGCCATCTGCGAAGGCGACGGCTGAGCTGCGGTGGTGGAGGTGGTGCGCGCGCGCGGGCGGCGCGGCGAGGGCGATGCATCATGCGTGCTTCGGCCTTTGGCTACTACTCATTGGCTTGGTCACCAGGTCAACTCCCGCACGCGAAGCGGCCGATGCGCCTGCTGTGTTGGCGTCCGCGTGACATCGAGGCTTCGCCTTCCTTTCCATCGACGCAAACGAGCCAAACGGATGCTGGAAAAAACATGTCTGTGCGTGCCTGATTGATTTTTAAGTTTTGACAAACTCTGGCACGTACGCTTGTTTGTTTTTTTGGGGGTAAAAACAGCAGGTTCTGATGCAAAATGATAAGTACTACATGTACTGGCAGAAACTATCCGAAGATTCCAAGTTTCTAATGTACGCATGCGTAGTGGTCTAATATGGTTCGTCAGATGACTGTGGGCTGCTAAGTACGCTTGACTTTTGGAGCGTGGTGATCTGATTAAGAACTAATTCCAAAATGACTGATGATTAATTGGGCGAATATGAGCCATGCCGTCAAGGAAGATGATGACCGGCGGATCGTACACTATTATTGTGGCGCTAGCTGTAGCTGTTGGGCAATATTGTTTTTACGTATGAAGAAAGTATATGATACTATCGCATCTCTACCACTGATCATTTCTTATTGTTACGTACCTACTACTCCGATATGGGAGTGATTACTTTGCCTAAACACACTGCCTGATTGATTGATCGAACTAGTCCCAGTGGATGTTCTTAATTTTTAGCCAAAAAAAAAAGAATTAGTTCCTATGGGCATGGTCAATACAGTCTGAAACAGCCCTTGCTAATGTTTTTGTCCAACTAACGCGTTGCATATGCCTTACTCTGCGTCGTGTATATCCTGGGAGAATTAGGTTGCCATTAGAAGCATATCGTTACTGATAAAGACGCTGTCTTGGTATGGACCTATGGTTTTCTGAATTTTAAATGCTCGAAGTCAACTTCGGAGAGAGTTCATACCATCATTGAACACGTAATCTATCACGAGTTGCTTTCGCTTTTACAATATTTTAGTCTGCAGCTCTGCATTTTGGCAATTGATCATACGTGGCTGGTTGATTCTATTTTCCTTCAGACAGATGCTGATTAAAATTGTAAATCTTTTTGTTGACGTTGTGAAGGCCCTCCACTGATTCGCCAAGTTATGAAAAGAATATTGGAGAGTGTACGTTTACACCGCTGAAATTAATCAATGGAAAGAATCCTGGACTGCATGGGCCCTTCCAGGCTTGAACCGGGCTGTCACTTGTTCCTCGTTCCATCGGTCCGTTTCCTCCTTTCTTTAATGGGTCGTTTTGTTTATTCTTGTTGAATTTTGTGCAACGAGGTCCATGTGGGCGATATTTTGCAGCCCAAAAGAACACACGCGACTTTCAGCATTTTCTTTATTTCTGTCTTTTCTGGTTTGAACACAAAATCGACATATTCTTGTACAGTTTCTGCCCTCTTAATATAAAACCAGCACAAGCTGGCCTAGGTTTTTTTTTAAAAAAACGACATATTGTGACAAGTGGACTATTATATACCGACTGATGATGAAGCTGTAGTTGTTGGCATCGTTTTCAATGTCCCAGACAAAATGGAAACAATTGAACGGTTGTATCTGCTCTGCTACAGAGTAAACCATACAAGCACAACGGCTCCAAACCGACCGATTAGTATCGTTGAAAAAAAAGTTTCAAGATAAGGAGAATGCAGAAGTACCTACTATGGATTAGTTTCGTTCTTATTAATTAATTAGTGTCTTCCTAGATCGCCAAACGCCAGAATGTAAACCTTCAAAAAGTCGGAACTCAAACCAAAGAGTCGAGTTGATCCCATGATCCTATCCCTTCCATTTCTGCGGCGCGATCGCCAACTCTCGAACCGAGTCGAGGTCGTTGAGTTTGGGCAGAATTTCTCTATTTTTTCCTTTTGAATTCAAGGAACTTCCCGAGATTTCGGTCCCCCGAATCCCGAGACCTTCTTTATCTTGCTTTTCGATGTGCGAAAATATCCGGTGGCAATGCGTCATCCTGGGACCTAGCTATATCTCGTAACCGAATCATCGACCAATTGGATCGTTTGGGCCCGGCAGGTCTCTGGCGCCGCGCTGCGCCACATCGCGGGACACAAGTTGGATGGCCACTTTTGCTGGTGATGCAGGCTGCGGCCGGGGTCGTGTGGCCGACCGTTCCGGCGAGATATCCCGCGCGGCCGACGACGACGCGATCGCGCGCCGGCCAGTAACTGCAGATAGATGCCTTCACATGGATCACGGCGACATGCCAGATGCGGGATATGTAAAAAGCGCAGTGACGGCGACAAGATATCCATGTCCCTCTATGCCTGCTTTTATTTTTCGCGAAACGCGTAGAAAGATTACACGTCAATATATTGAATGAAGATAGTAGAATTTTAGTTACAGAACGCAATGAATAGAATATCGTTGCAAGGGCCAAAGAAAAAAAAAGAAACAAACAAAAAATAATAATTGTTAAGCAGGAAAACTCCTATCGCGAGGGGATGGGGGAAACCACTAAACTCCCAAAGGACCCCCAAAGCAGCGGCGCTAGAAGCAGACCACAAATGACTTTCTTGGAGGATGGACTTTAGTACTACTGAAACCAAAGAGAGAGAGAGAGAATAGTCGAAGACCCTGATGTTCCACTCCTTTCATAGCTACCAGGAGACCAGAACGACAAGGGATTCGAAATCCTTGCAAAGATACTCAGGAAGGCATGCCCGAGCAGTTGGCCACCGGACCTATAGAGAGCAGCCATGGGAAGGAGCGAGGTTCATGTAGCGCCCGTTCCGTCGTGGCGCCTAGCGGGAAAATTTAAATTCTAAAAACCCTAATTGCGAAAACTGTTTCTTTGCTTGTAGTTAGTCTCCGTGCCAATTCCAGATCTCAAATCCCGAATCCAATTCCTTCCCAAATCGATTTCCTCCGCAAAAGTCTAGTTTGCCTCCCTCAGGTTCGGTGGGCCGATTTCCCTCTCGGCCCATCTCTCTCTCTCCCTCCCCTCCCTCGCTCTGCCGTGCGCCGCACGCGCGTGCGCGAGAGCCGCGCCGAGCGCCTCTCCCTCCCTCTCCGCTCTCGCTGCCGTTCCCGCTGACGCCGCCCAAATCGCCGCGTCGCCCGTTGCTTCCCGCGCGCGTGCGCGCGCCGTGGTGGCCGACTGGCCAATCGCCGTGCCGTCAGCCCTCTGCCGCGCCTGAGCCCGCGCCTGCCGCCCGTGTCGCCGCTCCGTTCCAAACCGCCCCTGCCGTCATCACCGTCGTCACGACCCGGCCCCGCCACTCCGCGCGCTAGCTTCCAAGGGATGGAGGCAGAGCTCCTCCTCCCTCTGCCGCGCCAACCCCTCTCGGGCCGCGCTCAAGCCGCCCGTGAAGTCTATTCCCCCTCCCTCTTTCTTTTCTTTTTTAAAAAGGATTTAAATAAATCCTTTTTCTTTAGACCAAAAATCCAATAATCTTAGAAATTCAATATCTTCCCAACCGTAAGTCCGTTTGACTCCGTTCAACTTCCAAAATTCCTCAAATCTCGAGATCCAGCTAATGGCACGCTTAGAGGTCAATAATAGGGCTTTATTTTTGCCGTTTGTTGAGTTGTCCCGTTTCGCGTGTAGTTTCGGAGCCCGAAGACCCGCAGTGCGAGGATTTCGAAGGTCAAGCTCAAGATCTCGAGCAAGGCAAGTCACCTTTGATCATCTTGCACTTATAATTTAAATCTAAGTATTTCTTTTCCGCAAATGTTGCATGAATAGGATTAACACAAGTAATTCGGCCGTGGCTTGCGAGATAGCCTGCCGGCCCCCAATCCTAATTGCTGCAACTACCCTCCTTGAATTATTGAACACTTAAACCTCCTTTGTCGACCGTTGTGCTTCGATGCACGGGCCTTCGGGTACGCGCATCGGAACACCCCCCCTCAAAATTTAAAATATCCAACAATGGGTAAAACTTGGGTTTTACAAAAGACTTGGAAAACCCGACACCTGGGTCGGTGCTTGCGAACTAAATGAATTTCTAAAATCGCGGACCGGGGAACGTACCGGGAGTACAGTTTCCCGCTCTTGCACTTAAGGACTGTTTCCTTGGAATTTCATCCGAACATAAGACAAGTGCGACCACATGGGTGGAATGGGACACCCCTGGCTGAGTAACTAGCTAATCGGGGGAGCCATGATGCCAAGAGACATGTGGATTCAACGGGGTGGTGCCGGGGAGAACCCCCAGGTTTCCTGGCACAGTATGGTCTGGGACCTAATCTGGTGTTGGTCTGGGACCCCTCTCGTTGGCATATGGTGAACCTGTGTCGGCTTTCGAAATGCCTTGTCATGAAAGCCTTAAGGTCTCTAGACGTGGCCGTTCTGCACGGGCTGGATGATCCGGGTTAGTAATGTCGTGTGGGTAAAGTGTACCCCCTTTGCAGAGGTTATTAAACTGTTCGAACAGCCGTGCCCACGGTCATGGGCGGATGTGAGGTGATTCCTAGCGTAGTTTTGTTTGACTACTGCTTTGTGAAATTGCTGCTGTGGAATGGGTTCGATGTTTGAAAAATCGGCGGCTGATGGGATCAGTCAGGCCCGGGTGGCCGTTTGAAAGTTGTTGGCTGGTGCCAACCTTGGATCAATTCAAAAGACTGATACATTGCACATACTCCGACCGGGCGAGACACACTGTTTCATCCGTGTCGTTTGAGAAGCACTCACTTAGCTGTTTCGAAAAGGAGTTTAAATAAAATCAATTGCAAAAACAACAGCCTTTCCCTTGAAGCCTGCATTAAACACTTAATTCCCATGGCTTGCTAAGTACTCCTGTACTCACCCTTGCTCTATATAAATAATCCCCCCAGTTGCTGAA